GCTTTATGGGAAATATATTGTAAAGAAATTAAAATAAAACTGTTAAGAGTGACATTAAATTTCATATTTCTTAAGAAAGGTATCTAATTAATTTATAGGTACCTTTCTTATGAAATTTTATCAGAATTTTATGTACATTTATTACATTCTACTGTTATTTATATTTGCATTCATTTTATTATTAATTTTGATATTTCATTTATGGAAAAATGTCGTAACTGAGATTAATATAAAAATAAGATCATATAAATTTCATAAGATGATACTGATACTTGTAGGTACCCTTCTCAGTTGAAATTGAAAAATCAAATTAACTTCTCCACACGTGTTTCGCAAAAAGTAAAGGCCTTAATAGCGAGAACAATGCTTAACTCAAATAACGCAACTTAATTATATTCTGGTTGGTCTTCCGTATTTTATAATTACAGCTCGATTATAAGCACAAAATTACATTTCTTAATTACTGGGTATCTTCTGATTAGTCAAAATGATACAATTTACAACGCTAAAAAAAAGATCTATCTCATAAGGACACTTATGAAAGCCTGTCGGCTTTTAACTAATTTTATAATATTTTAACAACTTAAATGTAAAATGTATTATAATTAATGAAATAACAAATAATTGTGTTAAAATTCATTTTTCATCGAAAAAATTTTTTTTGCTTTCAGAAAATATTGTCCATATTCATAAAACAACTAAAAGCAAATAAAAGCATTTGAAATTAAATAATATCTTTGTTTTATTGAGTTTTGTATGTTACAATTCAGAGCTGATTTTCAGGTACTGCGTATCCAATTAAAAACAAAAAAAAACATGATTTGCATTCCTCAAAGCCCTGTGCTTTTAATTATTGTAATCACTAAAACCGATGCGATCAATTTCTAGCGTTTTCATAAAATTAGTTATGGGGAGTAATAAATATTTTAAAAAATATTTCTACCATGACTTTCATAAAAAAAAATATTTATAATAATTTCGATCATCTGTGAATAGTTCCTGAAAGTTTCATTAACATCCGATAATTATTTCTATTTTTGCACGATTTTTCAAATTAATGTGTGTCATACCAAAAAAAACGTGCTAAAATTGTCTATATTATTTACTAGTTCCGCTGATACAAATAGAAAAAAGGTTTTTTAATCAAAATTTAGAATGTTCTAAAAAGAAGGAAATTTTTTAAAAATAATTAAAAAAACTTTGGTCTTTCCTCTTAATAATAACATAAGCATTTAGACAATAAAATTTTGTTTTCGGCAAGGTTGGCGTCTTTTTCATCAAGCTATGCTCTTTTTTTAGCGATTTCGTGGAGGTACCTATTTTAAAAGATAATAATGAGTGATATCTTATATGTCATCTATCCAAAATGGAAAGCTGAACAAATGTCCCTCACAGATGAAGTCTAGGTGTAAAGTAACTGATTTGTGGTTCTATCAAATGTTTGAGAATACCACAGAAAGAGTATGACGATGTTCTATAGTGAATAGGAACTATAAATAAACTGCTGAAAATTTGAGAGCCTATAATGAAAAAAGAAGACTTGAAGAATTAAACACTCACAGGACATGCTGAAGGCAAAAGAAAAACACATGCAAATAATTGAAGAAACAAGAGCCACAAAAAGTATGATTTCAAATGTTTATTTTATAGGTAGTCATGCCTCTCCATTTAGAAGAGGAGCTACATAATCTTTTTATTCCTTCTATTTCCTACACATAGCCTTGTACCAGACTTTATTTGTAGTTTGCATTCTGATCATGAAAGTAGTGTTCTGCTTAAAACTGGTGATTGCTTTTTTTAACAAAAACAAAATTTGCTGTTTAGTTATTACCAGTTATTTTTTATTATAATTTAGAAAATCTAGTGAGGTTACTCCACTATGTGACCTTGTGCCAGACATTGTCTAGTTTAATAATTTTATACTTACTTATCAAGGGAAGATAAAAAGATACATATATCACAAGGATGTCCATACTAAAAGATAAATTTGACAATCGATAAGACAAGAAAAAAAGGAAAAAGCACAACCAAATGACTTATGTCAAATATGCTGCTATCATAAATCATCAGCCAAATACTGAATAATCACAATTTTAACAGATATACAGGATTGATGGAATGGCCTACAAGTAGCAAATTGGGAGGCTTTTTGAAAGCTCACGACTATTAAATTCTAAATTGTCTTATCATGAGTATCCCAATTTAGCCTAGCTTATTTGAATAGTAACCCCCAAAAGTCACAAGTAGTGAAATTCAAAATTTAGTTATACTTGGTCTTCAAAAAGTAGACCCCTACATCCCAATCTGTCAACCTTTGATCAAAATAAGAAATCAGGATGTGTCCTGAGGTGAGTAGTAGTTTCAAAAATGCCATTGTGATACAAGGATGCATTGTTTTAGCCAATAATTGTTGCAATCTATAATAAAACATTGTATAGATATTTACTTAGTATAAAATAGATTGACACAAGGCTACAAATTTGGGGCACCCAAAGAAGCTCAGCCTTCTTTATGTGCTGTGTCTCCTCAGGACATAGGCAATCCTGGCTCTCCACAACTTCCTGTCTTTTGTAGCTCTTAATAAATTTTATCTTTCTGTTATTTCTCCTAAACACTGTTGAGACTCTGTCCTTTGACGGAGCCACCTCTGAGCGCACTCTGCCCAAAGACAGAGACACAACTGAGAGATGATAAACAATGTGTTACAAACTACACAAGAATTACTTGGACCCCCCACCAAATTGAGTTGGTTTTTAATGTGGGGACCTGAGTGTCTTCACTCAGGCCACTGGTCTTAGCTCATCATAGCTTGTCCAAGTTGGTAATAGCCATGATACTACAAGCGCAGGGATGAATCCCTGTGCCCGGTAAGCAGTTTGTATTTACTTGACCCAAACAGGTTGTGACACAAGGTCGGTTTTTAATGTGGGTAACCAAGTGTCTTCATTCGAGCCACTGGTCAAATCTGGTCATAGCTCATCAGAGCTGGTCTTGGTTGGTCATAGCTAGTCATAGCTGTGATGCTACCAGCGCAGGGATGGATCCCTGCACCCAGTAAGTATGAATGTGTTACAAGCTACTTGAGAGAGAGCAGAGATTTACTTGACCCAAGCCACCCCCTCCCCAGTCAGGTTGTCACACAAGGTCAGTTTTTAACGTGTGGATCCAAGTTCATCACTTGGGATACTGGTCTTAGCTTGTCTAAGCTAGTCATAGCTGTGATACTACCAGCACAGGAACGAATCCCTAAGTATCAATGTGTTATAAACTACTCAAGAGAGCAGTTTACATACTAGGTATTTATTCTGTCTCCCCACTAAGACGAGTTGTGACAAAAGGTCAGTTTTTATGAGGGGACCCAAGCGCATACACCCAGACTAGGAACAAAAATTGCTCACAGCCCCCACAACCGTTTGTTGTGCTGGCCTTGGGTTGAGCACCAATCCCTCTCTCTGGTGCAATGCCTCGGGCTGGGCACCTCTCAGTATAATTTTGCTCACTTGTAAGTCTGTCCTTTGACGAAGCTGCCCCTGAGTGCAATCCGCCCAAAGAGAGAGATGCAACCGAGAGATGATAAATAATGTGTTACAAACCACTCAAGAGTAAGTAAGTAAATCTCTGACTTAACCCCCCCCAACACACACTTCTCAAAATATAACCAAACATCAGAATTTTTGTGGAATCCACTCTTGGTCAGGCTGAGGGCTTTTCAACACACATCCATATTCAAATATGTGAATTCTGGAGTTCATTGTTTAATTCCTATCACTTGATTGTTCTTGATCAAAAGATTTTGAAAATCATTGGTATGAATAGAGAAAGAATAGTACCATGAGAATCCAGTGTGTGTGATTATTGAAAGTGCCAAATTTGATGGCCTATAAGACACGCCAACCCTTTTTTTTTTGCAAAATAAATGGCTTGCAAAATATCTTTTGGGTCTTATAATGACAGTTGAGGTATCTTGGGGAGTAATATTTATCCAGATACCATAGACTATCAGCCACACTCCATAATACTTTAATATTAAATTTAAATAGGGGAGGGGGTCAGGTCTTACATTCTATCGAATATGGTCAATGTAAACTGAAACTTTTAGTTCTTTTACTTTTGATATTTTCCAATGATTAGAATCCCAAATATCCATTCAGTCATTCTAAATTTAATTGTCCTACAAACACATGACATGACAGTGTCCTACAAACACATGACATGGACATGACAGTTTCATTAGTATAGCTGTTTTAAGATATAGTTTGTAGCTGTCAAAATTGGTCTTGGCTATGAGATAGATATTGATTGCCTGGTTCATGATGGATTAAACAATGATTGTGCCATTGGGACTGAACCAAATGAGGCAACTATTCATTATAAAAAGAAACACTTTTTATTATTATTATTATTATTTTGTTTCTTTCAAAGATGCAGATTTTTTCCATTTTTTTTTTTTTAATGTTCTCTCTTTATGTCATTTGAACAGAAAATTATAATTGTCTATTTATTGTCAGGCAAAAACAATCTGACTTTTAATCTATTATGTTGCCATTTGGCAGGCTGGTGTTTAATCAACCAGAAATTTTGTGAAGCAAAAAATATATATATTCTTAGAAAATAATTTTTTTTTTTTCAGTTTATTTCCCTGACAATTTTGAGGAAATTCCTTATTTTACATTTTGGATCTTAAATTTCCAAGTCATCAGCAAGTATCATCAAATCTTTGATGTTGTATAAAAATTGAAGTGTGGAGATATTTGAGAAAATTCAATGTTCACTGCATGATTTTTTTTTTATTTCTAAAATATTTCAAAAACTGAATTAAAAATCTGCACAAAAAGCATACTTTTTATTATTTGATTTTTATTTTCATGTCAAGCAACATTGAAATATTGAAAACAAGCAATTTTATTTATTTTAGTGACCATAATACTGACTTTTGCTTTCTACTACATTTATGTTTCCATTCTTAGTATACTGACTTTTTTTTTTCTTGCCTTTTTCAGAATGGTCCACCACTGTCGTCTCGATCTGACAAATTAGGGGAGCTTTGCTGGCAAAGTTTTCAACACCGTTTAAATAAAACAATTCAGGATGTGATAGTGTTTGCCAAAAAAATCCCAGGATTCACATCTTTAGAACAAGACAGCCAAATCAAACTGATTAAAGGTGGCTGTTTTGAGGTAAACAAAAAAAATGTGTTTATAAATTATCAACTTACCCAGAACTTCTACAAATACCCATTCTCAAACCCTGCACAATGCCCTACTGATATTGATAAAACAAAACCTAAATCTTAAAAAAATTACCTGTTTCTCAATGTCTTGATTTATTCCAATCCCATTTACTCATGTCTATGAACATCTCTTTATTGCTCTTGGAGGAAGTAGCTTTTCATTGTACACACACCTCAAGTTATGGATGATAATCTGTCAATAATTTGATCAAATATGCAACCTTGGTTATACAACAAAATGCAGGAAGAATTGAAAATTTGTTGTAATTTCATAAAATCCATTTCATACCCATTTGTTTCAAAATATATGTTGTTGTTTTCACAATTGCTCACTTAGCATTATAATGGTTTTAAAACTTGTGTTCATTTATTTTCACCCTTATTGAGTGATAATGCTAGCACCTTGGTTGGTCATGGTGTGGTAAAACTGGAGTGACCTCTCCAGCATACTGGATTGGGTAATGGTAGATGGAAGCTTGAGCTGCTCAGACCACAGAGAGAAAGGAATTCAAGACAGTGACAGCCTTTTGGAAATCCTGTAGCCAGTGTTGACAGCCAACTGCGTTAAGAACACTACTTTAGATTTTCTCACTGGATTAACTTTTGCCATGGAAAAAATGAAGCTTATATAGGAAAAATAATTAGTGAAAATTCTATTTTTACCAGATATTCCAAGAATGTCACCTTGTGTCAGATTTAATTTAATCTATGTAAATAAAAACTGGAGGCTTTCCTAATTCTGAAAATAGCAAGTTCATCTTTGGTTTTTGACAATTTTGAGTTAACTAATAGATAGGTTTCAAATATTGAATTTCATGGCAAACACCTTTCACCACATCCTAGTTTTGTGTTACTAAATGTACTATTTGCTTCTAAGTAAAATCTGTGTTGCTTTCTTCATTGTTTCCTTTTGTAAGACTAACATTTATTATTCATCTTACACCTTCACTTTATTTTGTTTGTTAAAAAATAAAAACAATACATTGAAAAATCTTTCCATCGTATTTACCCTGACCCAATCACTTTTTTTTTTTAGTAATTTGCTTTTCTATGTTTTTAAATAATCAATCTTTCTTTCTTCCACACAACAAATAACATTTTCCTCTTTTTTAAAATGAAAATAGTTTTCTTTGATACACTCCACTCTGCCGAACCTTCTCAAAAATGCTTTCTTTTCTATCAACAGAAAAAAAACATAGATAACCCAGTCTGAAATATTTATTGCAAAGTCTTCATAAAATTAGATAAACATTCTAGGTTTTTTTTTTTTGGTTTTTTTTTCCGTCAACAGAAATGGAAATTTTTCTGTCTTTCTCTTTTTTAATTTTTCTGTTTTGAATTGATTCATGGCTTCAATTCACTGGAAGCATTGGTTCATGAATTTGGTAACATAGTAATTGTGAGTTCAGTCCCTGGGTTGGGTAGCACAGACTTAAACTCAGTAGAAGCAGGGTGAACAGTACTCCTCCTTATCTAAGAAAAGAACAAGACATAAAATGAGAACAGTCTATATCCGTGTAGATTAAATAAAAGATTCAGTTCAAAATTCCCTGGATTGACAGATTACCTGTAGGGAGGGAAGAGGACACAATTGCTGAAATGCTGTCATAGTAACAATAAAGATGAGGATGATAGTCTGAGTGTAAATAATGATAATTCCTCATCCCAGAAATTCAGTTTTATCTGTTGGGTTTTAAAATTATCTGATTGGCAATGTACCTAACTCTGCCCTAGGGAATATTCAGTCAGTTATGTGCCATGCGTGATACACGCTTAGGCAGTCATGTATCTTTTGATATATGACTGACAAAGCAGATTTTTTTCCCCGCTGTTGGTTGCCATTCCTTTCTGTGTTAGACCAGTTGCCATCCAAGGCTATAGAACCAGGTCTGTCCTGCTATTTACCCATAGCTAGAAGAAGAGGCTTTGATGGTTATTTCTCAATATTTCATAAACAAACAAATATATCAATAATGGCTAGAAGTGATGCACAATGACGATGCACAAGAATTTGAAGAATCTTAACTATTTGTAGGGCTGATGCAAGGATCTCATGAACCCCTACTCCACTATATCTTGATTTTCATAAGGTAGTATTCATATAAAATACAAATTTTATTGTAACCTAATTATGTACAATAATGGATCATATACAATATAGGTGAACAATTCAACTAGAAATATTTAAAATAAATCCAATGTATCTAAATACAAATTAGGGTCATGTCATAATAGATCATTCCATTTTGAATAAATCAAGAATGTTTTGTAGCAATTTTTAATATCAATTTGAGATTTTTAACACATTCAACATAATGGATAAAATATAGTGAATTTTATATAGGTTTTTTTTTTAAAAACTTCACATGAGCAAAACAAATGCACAGATTTAGGTGGAAAAAACAAACTCCAGAATGATATCAAAATCCGTGAAAATTTTTCATCCTTTTAATAGTTGTGCTTAGTTTAATTTGTAATTTTTGTGATGTCAATGAAAACTCCTTGTCACTTTTGTAATGCTTGTTGTAGTAGAGACTTTGTAATTGCAGATACAACTATAGTAATGCTGTTGAACAATACTGATGTCAGACACCTTTGAATAACACTTGCACTAATAGTAATTGCTTGATCGCTTGAAAAGTAACCACCAAATAGTAATCCATATAGTGATCACTTAGATGCCACACTAATTCCCATACATACATTTCCTTTACCATCACATGATCTACTTATTCAAAATGGTTTGAGATGACTTCCCCTGGAGGCTACACTACTTCAGTTTTGGTTCAATAGTTAGAAATTCAGTTGGCATTCTTTTTCTTTTGCCATAAACCTTTGGTTCAACAATTTCTGATGGTGTGGGTATGTTAAATGTGTCATACAGAATTTCCATTGGTACCTCTTTTTGGGAACTTTTTAAATCGGTGAATCTATGTTTTAACTGATTAAAGTGTTGCTTATGTTCCCACCATTGTCTTTGTACCATGTATGTCCATTTGCCAATCTGTTTTTTTTTTTTGCTGCCAGAGCACAACCTCTGCATGATTACATTAAATTTTTGATACCCTTATCCATTTTTGACCAGTAAGTATAACACCTCATTAAGGATTTAATTCTAGAAATTCCTGAATGTCCTCTGAAATTCTTTTAACATACATCTTTGCAATGATGCTGGTATCACCATTCTCTCTGCATATATAAGTACATCATTACATAATGAAAATGCATTATTTTCAAAATTTTCTCACATTCATAGCATTTTTTTGATTTTGAAGAAAAAAATCACTTTTCAAATGCTTACCTCCACAACTGTGGCAAGTATTAGGTATTGAGGGAGGTTTATAGTCTTCTTTTTTTTACTGTTCTGTTAAGAATTGAAAAACGTTTGTAGTTTTTTCACTTATATGGTCAGATACTATGTAACAGTGAATTGTCTTTTTCCTCAATTCTTGTGGTACCGAGTTTCAAATTCACAATATGTTAACACTTTTCTGCTATTTTCTGGAGTGTTAATTTGGGATCCATTTCTAATTCAGCAAGTATCCTGGATCTTATCTTCACATCCTTATTAGAAGTTAAACCCTGTTTTAATATCAGGCATTTAAATAAATCAGGAGTCAATTCATTTAATTTGAACATTTTACATTCTTGATTCACGACTCCTGCATAAGTGACAAAATCTTCATCATCAGGCTTTACTAAGACATTGCAATCGTGTATTAAATAATGAATGAACTATCCCCAAAAATCTTTGATAGTATTAGAACAGTCTCATCAAAATTTATCTCTCCTGGTTTTTTTTGGTAAGATATAATTTACATATTCATCAGGGGACAATTTCCTTAATAATAAGCAAAGATTCTTTTCATTATTCCAATGTGAACAATCCTTTTTGAAGATCCTTTTGAATCTTCTATAATAAGCTGCAAAAGTTATCCCTTCATTTGGATGGTAGACAAATTCACAACAGCATCTGGAGTGAATGAATCTGATGTTTTTCCCTCCAATGAATCTGAAGTTTTTCCCTCCATTGTTTTGGTAAACAACTCAAAAAACTTCTGTTGTTGTAATTGCTGTTCATGTTGTTTTTATTACTGCAATTGTTGTTCTTGTTGTAGTTTTTGTTGCTGCAACATCTGAACCATGGCAGCTTTTAATTCTTCCATTCCACTGTACTCTGCTGAATATTTTGCAAATTCATTTTTTCCTTGTGTAAATTGAACAAATCCTTGCTGCCACTTTTGTGATGTCAATGAACACTCTTGTAGTAGAGACTTTGTAATCGCAGATACAACTATAGTAACGCTGTTGAACAATTCTGGTGTCAGACGCCTTCGAATAACATTCACGATAATAATACTTGCTCAAAAAGTAACCACCGAATAGTGATCCAAATAGTAATCCATATAGTGGATCACTTAGATGCCACACTAATTCCCATATATACATTTCCTTTACCATCATGTGATCTAATTATTCAAAATGTGATCGCCTGTGTTTGCTCTCTGGTGATCTGTGTTCAAACTCCAGTGCTGGCAGTAACACTTTATTCCTATTTAACAGTAATGTATATAAATGTAGGTAGAGAAAAGCAAATGTTTATAAGATAGCTAAAGTCATAAAGCACTGCCAGGGGCCCCAATCAGGCTTGCTTCTTGGTCAGGGGCTTTTGCGGATAATATGCACTGGCCTTGATTATTTGGAAGGTAAGGGTCAATAGATTGACATATTTCTGAAAAATGAATTTCCTATTTGAAAAGAAAATGCAGTTGACAGGGCCGTTTTGTTTTGAAAAATTAAATTTTTGTGAATTTTTTATTTTTCAGATTGCTTGTGTCGTGCATTCCAACCTGGTGGACGGGGATTCCAACACAATGATTGCTTCAGACGCTGGACTTCTGGTCAGCCGTGATGAGATGAAGGCTGGATTCCCTCTCGGGGAGCATTTTGTTGACCTCCTCTTCAACTTTTGTACCCGTTTTAATGCCTTCAACTTACGTGACATAGAAACTGCATTATTTAGTTCTCTGGTGCTTATATCCCCAGGTGAGTGTGATAAAACAATTGTACATGTTTTGCCTATATAACCTCCCTTACACTGGTGATGCCAGGTGGCAGTGTCTTTGTTATGACAATGGTTGATGATTAGATGAGAGACATATTTGGTGATTAATTATGAATCTACATTAGTCGGGGTAATGATGCTGGAATTTTTGTCTGTTATCGTTCCAATGAAACAAAGATGTCTGCTTGAAGAGAACAAGCAAATTTACTTTCTCATTTGTGATATAGAGTTGCATGTCAGGCAAAGGACAAGGAGAAATGGAAATTATTATTTTAACAGATGTACATTGAAATACTGGACACACACATTTTGGTGATGAAGAAGTCATTTTTTTCAAAATGATAATGTATCTTGCCACAAATGAAAGAAAAATGTTTATTTTTTTTTCTTTAAGAAACACATATTAACTGAATGACACAACCAGCAAAAAGTCTGGATTTTAATCACACTATTTTAGGTGGAAATAAAAAAATAAAGAGGTCTCTGACAAAGGTACATGATGTAAATCTGGTATGTCAACTATTTTTTGAGAAACAAAGATGTGGGTAGGATAATGGTTATCAGTACAGAAAGTGGACCCAGCGTGCCTGGCTCAAATACTAATCAAGTCTGTTTCATTCACTAAGCCCTAATACCCTTGAAAAGAAGGTATTAATCTATAATCCTCATGTTGCAGGTTAAATAGCAAGACAGACTGGGTTCTTTAGACTTTGTAGAACAACCAACCTAGGAGAAGGAAAACTGATTTTAAAACCAGCCTGACAAGGGACGGGCTCTATCCGGGTGTCTTGCCATAAACACATTCACTGCTGCTATGGCTACAGTATGTGAGTGGCCCTAATGGGGCTATGGAACTTGTGATTTGAGAAAGCCTTAGCTTCATAGAGAATGCTGTTATTGTATAAATAAAGTTTGTGCCTCAAAGGATTCAAACTGTCATCTAAACCCAAAGAGATATAAGATGTGATATTAAATGTAAGATCATCAAGTGATCCTATATTTTCTCCTCTACTTAGTCAGGAAAAATAAATTGCCATTAATTATTTGCTGTGAAGCAAAAAAAGTTGGATGACATTCTTTAAGTGTACCAATTCCAAAATTTTTGCTAGGGGTTGTTGAAATTCATAAGCAATGATTTGACTCATTTTTTTTTTCTTTATTCAATATACAATAAAATGCTCCTGTCTCATAATAGGTGTTACATTTAGTCCAGGCAAATGTAACAATGATGAGACAGAGATAGTAATTTTTCTGTTTTAGCAAATGATATTGTAGAAACTGATACAATTTTTAATTTAAAAAAGGAAAAAAAAAATCTTTTATGGATTACTTGAAACAAAATATTTGATACTTTTTTCATCTCCAATTAATAAAGAATCATTACTTATGTAAAACTGACAGATTTCAAGATAAGGAGGCTAAAATTGAAAAGAGTGTTTTGTTTTAATACCCACTCACAAGAATATTCAGAATGTTAGAAGTGAAGTGAAAAAGGGAGGTTGAGAAACAAAATAGACAACCAAAGGAAGATTGTATTTTTTTAAAAATTTTGTTGTTTCAATAGAAAAAAAAAACACTTCAGTTGCTGTTGGTGACAAATTTGAAATTAGTTTAGGAAATAAATATTTCCACATATTTTAGGAAAATTCATAGCGATTTTCACAAGATGAGAAATATATAAAATTTTAATATATCACATATATAGTGCTGATGCACGGCCGACTATTATTATACAGTCCCATGTCACGTTAACAAGCTAAATTCTAAAACAAAAATGTGAATGGCCGTTTAGAAAATTGCTAATCTAAAAAAGGGAGGTAACTTTAAAAATAAAATTCTTAGAATGTAAATTAACAATGTACAATTATGTTGAATTTATTGGACATTTCAATTCCCTAGACATTAACACTAAAATGCATATTTACACCTTTTTTCTACGTCATAGTCCATTGCATTTAAAGATTAAATTATAAAGTTTGTTGTGATATTTTGTTTAACAAAAATGGTCAACAAATGTGTTGCAGTTGGCTGTTCTCATGGATATATTACTAACATTGAAAAAGTATTGACATTTTCCTTTCCTCTTGGAAAATTTGACCTTGTAGATAAATAGATAAAATTCATTAATTGTATTGATTGGTTTCCTATGAAAAATTCAGTTCTCTGTATGGAACATTTTGATGAGAAATTTATTTTGAAAGGAAAACAAAACAAACTGAATTACATCCAATACCTATTAAAAAAATAAGAAAACTGTCTTTTTGCCAAATACAAGGGAATTTAGAAAGTCTTGAAAACAACGACTTGTACAAACAGATGAATTACATGATTTTATGTCAGCTGATACAATAAAGGATCTTACTCAGTTGGAAGAAGCAAATGAGCGTTTTGTCCTAATGGTCTTGAATTTAAAAAAAAAGGAAGATTATATTATAATTTATAGAATAGTCTTTGACCCTGAACTATTTTCCATCTATAAAAGAATGTATTTGCATTGACCAAAACCTTCATGTCCAGCTCCAATGCGATGGAATCTCTATAGTATTAACACAGTGGTTTACACATGGACATAATGCTAAACTCATAAGATTTAGCATGTTAGAAGATTTTCCAAACTACATACAAAACATGGTAGAAGAATAACCATACCCAATTTTTTTAGAATTACAAAAAAGACAACATTACCATCCTTCATTTTCTGCAGAACTAATACATTATGCCTTACTACTGCTCTATATGTGTACAAATTACTACCGGAGAAATTTTCATTACTATCTTTTTCTTTGTTAGAGAAAATTAAAAAAACCGTTTTCAATGTGAAATGTGTTTACCTAGTCATGGTAGGTAATGATAGTGATGATACTACAGAGAAGCAGTATTCTGACATACTTTCTCAAGGAGGTCTTACAATTTCATCTAGCCAAATGGCAGAGTTTGTGCTTGTTTTGCTATATTTAACTATGCAGATAAATTTATTGTAAAGCATAATGAATCCACTACAAATGAGTCTGCTGAAAGAATTTTGGAAACTTATTCTCCAAAGTGTGTTTTTATTTGTGAACAACAAACTGAAAAAAAAATTCACTTTGCAGCAAAAATTGTTATGAATATATTTTGCAACAACAAATGCAATTTTTCATCATATGAAGTTTGAAAAAATATTGTAGAATGTTTTAAAAAGGCAACAAACAAAAGAAAATTGATTTATAGAGAAACTGTTTGTAAGTTTTTTTACTTGTATTTGTATTACTGCTTAATTCTTTAATAACTTTTTTGTTTGTTTACAATCTTTTATTATTACTTTCCTGTTTAAAAAGAGAAAAAAAACAACCTGTTTTTCTATTTTGGGATGGTTTTAACATGTTTTAGATAAAACAGGCATAAATTGATTATAAACCAAATAGGCTTGTTAGAAATTAGCCTGAAATGTGACATATGGGGCTGTATATATTAGTGGGCCATGACTGGTGTTAATAAAACAGTGCTTGGAAATTTCATGTTTACCATCATTAAATGCACTTAAGTAATTTAAAATACAAAAACAGCGCTGCTCTCTCTCCAAATATTTCTGGCAATTAAAGAATGATGGCATCTCACCATCAATCAATTGGGAAATTATATCTAGAGCTAAGGCTTATAACAATAAAGAAAATAAATGCAATTTATGTCTTGTTGGAAAATTGGTTATCTTAGAACGTCTAAATAACCCTAGCTTATTAAACAAGAGAAATGAATTGATGGTTACATGTCAGCATAAAAATAAATATTTGCTTAAATACGTTGATCCAGATTAATTTTTAATGTAAATTGCTAATTATTTATTTTGAATGTAAATTTATTTTTGTTTAAATAAGAACAAGTAATCTCCCTTTAATTAAAAATTCTAAAAAAATTAAAATATGAATATCACCACTCAAAAATATAATTTTTAAATTTTCTCTTTTTTACATACATATATAAATCCCACTTATTTTAATTGCCAAATATAATTTTAAAATTAAAAAAACTGTAATCCCAGCAAAATATATAACTATGCCAACATTGTGATAACCAGATATATTATAATTCAAATTGCATAACGGTCAGTTTATACTTACCACCTGAAGATTGCATTGTGCATGAAATTCAGTCACGTTAGCAGTGAGGGATAATATGTATATTTATTTACACACACACCTATATATATATATATATATATATATATATATATATATATATATACACACCCAAGAATAGGATTGGTGAATACGGAATAAATTCCAATAATCAAGCAATACTATTCTTAAAAGAGTGCTCAATGCAGAGTAGAGCAAATATAATTTATTTGAAAATTATAACATAAATATGTTATAAAAATCCCTATAAAAATAGTCATTTTGTTTCAACACTTCTGGTGTCTCATTAATGATGGTGTTGAATGTAGAATAAAAGGTTTTAAAAGGTTCAAATCAAACAAACACCCTTTGATAGGGGAAATGTTGTTACATAAGCTGCAATGAAGAATCAAAATACAAGTATATGAAAATTCAAAAAACGAACATTAGTTATAATTATTAATGCTTTAATGTTAGGGTTAGACTAAAATAGAAATCATTATAACTAATTAATATTAAATTTTACTATAAAATTAAAAATTACCAATTTTAAATTTAATCTGTATTAAGTTTAAAATATAAAATAACAAAGAAGAAACTGGAGGAAAAAATACATATATTTTATTATTTATTTTGTTTTAATTGAAAAGCCAAAATCTCAGAAAAAACATTAATCTAATGGGGATAAAAACATCATTACAACTTAGATACATTTGAAGTGATGATATATTGCAAATGACAATACATACACAATAGGATTATAATACACAAACACATAGACATATTTAAATATATAAACATGCAAAAATATGAACAAAACAGGAAATAGATGTCCACGACCCCCCCACCAAAAAAAAAAAAAAAAAAGAATCAGATAACATACATATAATGAAAGGCATATATAAGCAATCATGCACACATACATTAATAAAGACATAGACACATACACTAGTTTGCATTTCATTTACTTTCACATTCAACACCATCACTTATAAGACACCAGAAGTGTTAAAACAAAATGGCTATTTTTGTAGTGATTTTATAACATATTTGATATAATTTTTGAATAAATTTTATATATTGTTTAGTGTTATACTATGTTTGAATGAATACCCAACTATTTATTTTTCCTTAATATTTAGAATGTAATACAATTTTCATAATTACTTAAGTAGTTTTCTGAAAACTTGTTCTGTTCAAGTAACTTACAAGCAGTTTCTGATTTTAGTCATAATATTTGTGCAAATTACAAACGGTTTCATTTGTTAACTGAAAAGAAAATGAAACCTTTTTTTTTATTTATTTGAACATTTGAAAATTACTAATTTATTTTTTAATAATGGCCTTTTAATTTGATTTTTCTAAATAAAACTATTTATCATATAAAACCCCAAAAGAACACTCAATATATAACAATGAAATTAAGAACTAAATGATGATCATATTTTAAATGGGCTTTTTAAAAACTCCAACTGTACTAATTCTGTGACAATGTCCCACGGTACTAACGAAGGGTTAAGTTGCGGATAAAGTAACCTTTGGCGTGTATGACTTAAGGTATATATTTTTCGAGAATTCTTACAGAGGAAAAATGGACGGATTTAAATACAGTAATTTAAAAAAAAAAAAAAAAAAAAAAAAAAATGAAGGGAAACAACTCCTGCTTGCTTTGAACCGAAGTCAAAAGTTACTTCCCTGGAAAATTAAACGCTCTAAAGTTTATTGATTTTATAAGTTTTGAACAGTGAGACAAAAATTGTACCCTATAAAATAGAGTGACTTCCAATTGCATTTATAGTAAAGAGAAATAATTTGATTCAGAAAGTTGGGAATGATTTTGAAGTCCCATTACTGATTAAGAGCATAAATATTTATTACTAAGCCTAGTGTGCACTGTGCCTTTATTAATATAACTTTGTTATTTTTTTTATTTTTAATCATTTCATCTGAAGCAAAGCAATAATGCCACTAAGACACAAGTGGTTACTGGCAGTGGAAGAGAATAAGAAGACTTTAGTGAGGAGAAAGGATTCAGGAAGCAAGAAGATGGCAATTGCCATTGCTTTTTAGTTTTTGAAGATTGTACATGAATTCTACAGGCAAGAAATAAGACAGAAGAAATTATTACAATAGTGCTTAGGTTATATCAAACTATTTCAACAGTAAAACAGTGAGACCTAGTAGCCAATCTAGTAATATGCTTAAATGTAGTCAAGGGACCAAAGAAGAAAGCATATTAGAACTGCCAGCGATGATATTTACAAAAAAGACAGGGAAGCCATATTATGGTGGCAGGAAAGTGACTGAAGTTGAGATGCCAGGTCAGGACCAATAACATTACAGACCCTTCTTTAGATTTTGTTGTGAATCTTGAGATTTTATATCCGGAGTGCCAGACCAGATATAGCAACAATATTCAATGCACAGATAAATAGTAGATTTATATACATGCAAGAAAAACTGTCTGGCATGACAAAGTGAGCCAACTTTCCTAGTAGTAGACATAGTATTTGATTCAATATAACCATTCCACTTCATGTCAGTGGAAAATGTGAGACCAGAAAGTAGCAATGCGTTACTTTTCTGGAGGTTAGCATCAGCCATGCAAGCTTTGTCTGACTTATCACACTTACTATTTAGACAGGGAGCCATAAGCATGAATACCTTGTAGGGAACTGATCACATCAAGAAAAGGTTGTTAATGAAGATGAGAAACAATACACACAGGTCCTGGTAGTATTAGTAATATCTTGTACGGATGTATTGGTATTTGGTTGGTATTTTTGACATTTTACATTGATTGGTTAGTGTTCTTAACATTTTATATGAATAATCTTTATTCAACAGTTGCATATTAATTTACCAAATAATTCTATATGTTTAAATTATTTACTAGTTCTTTAAAGAAGCTATTTATGAACTATAAAAAAATTTATGTACGAAATTCACAAAGCGTATAATGTTTGGCATTTTGTTAAATTACTCCTCCACCCCATTTTTATTTTTTAGGAAACAATATTGTTTAGTTTGTATAATGATGTAATTGTTCACTCACCAATAATTTACAATAGCCCAATGAGATGCATTGAAACACGACTGCAATTGTGTAGTGATTTTGACATGGTTTTGTTGTAATATCCTAAAATAAATAATATTGCTCTACTTTGTATTGGGCCCTTTTTTAAATTAAATCTTACAAACGTTGGAATTGCAATCTATTTGTTCTCATCTTATCTGGATATATATATATATATATATATATATATATATATATGTGTGTAATATCAAATCTGTAGGTGGTAGAGTTTATTCTAATAAGGTTTTTAATATATACAAAATATTAAAAAGTTAACTCCATGATGAGAGCACAATGTATAGATTTATATACAGAACAACATAAATAAAGAAAAGACTTAATTAGCCATCATATAATTGGTTATAAATTTATATATAAATGCTTTGCTGATCAGACCAGCATGATTATCTTGGTTGTTATACTTGTGATCTTCAGATGTCCGTCTTCATATTTGTTAATTTTTTTGAAAACCCTTCATTCCAATCCAGTAGAGTGAATTGTTTGCATTCTGGTTTCTATACATAGGGGAGATAACTCGTATCAATTAATACTCATCAGTCATATTCAGTTTTGTCTCCCTTGTTCGTTTTACCCCCCCCCCCTCTCTGAACAAGACTTCAGTACTACCAGACCCAAGGATCGAACACTTAACTGCCAGGGAACCCAATATGTTTTAACCAATGCTTTAAAGCCTTAGTGGATTAAATGGTGAAACATTGTGAGTGTAAAAAACAAAGATAAGCATTTTGGTTTGAATAGCAAAGCATAGAATAAAAGTCTTATTTCTTTATCAAATCAAATCCTTAGTTGCTAACAACTATATTCTTTTCCTATCAATACAATTTATTTTTTTTTTCTATCAGTTTATCGAGCAGAGAAGTTTCTTTTCTTTTTTTAAAATTTAGAAATATTTTTACAAATGAATTAACAACAAAACTCTACTTTATTCTCTATTGTGAACGTTTTTCATTCTTTACTTTCCTAACAATCTTGTGTTGTGTTTCAATTGTTTTTTCAGATCGCCATGGCCTTGAACGTAGTGATAAGATAAATCGATTGCAGGAGCTACTGATTCAAGCTCTGCAGCAAGAGATCCATGCAGCCCACCCAGAAGAAGTGGGACTTTTCCCTCGCTTGCTAATGAGTATCTCTAGCTTGAGAGAATTAGGCGTTGAGCATCGCAAAATGCTCGAGTCACTCAAAGGACAGATTCGCTTTCAACATGATCTATATGCAGAAACTTTTGACTTGATCACCTAGGGCTAACCCCCTCAAAGCCCTTCCCTCCCCTCAACAGGTGATCCTCCCAGTTTTGTTGATCACCTGAATATATCACCTATGATATATCTCTCTCTCTCTCTCTCTCTTTCACCTGTTCGACATTGTTCCTTTCAACTGGAAGATCAACGTGAACGATTCTCTCTATGTGAACATTTGTTTAGTATGTATGTCTGTCTTTCAAATATGCAAGTGTGTGAATTAATAGCCACACCAGGGGGGGCATGTATGTGAGTATGCATGTGCATGCTTTAAGAAAAAAGAAAAAAAAAGATACATAAAATAAATAAGAAAAAAAAAAAACAAACCCACGTCCAAACTGTTATAAACAACGATCCGAGCGTTGTTGGACTCAGCTCAGTTCTCAGAGCAAGGAATGCCAAAAGAAACGGATAAATGGCTGCTGTATTAATGTTTGCTGTAAACAAATTTGACATTTCAGAATCTCTCTTTTTTTTTTTTTTTTTAAATTCTTGAGGTTTCATCATGGAACTTTTTTTTTTTTTTTTTTTTTTTTTCCTGAAACTTTTCTTTGGAATTTAAAATTTTTTTCTTTCTTTCTTTTTTATTTTTTTTTTTTTTTTCATTTGACTATCGAGAATGAAGAATCTTCATGTGCAAAGTATTTACTGGTTTCAGCCTTTGTTGAATGAAATTATTATTATTATTTTTTTTTTTTTTTTTTTTTTTTTTTGCATACATGGCAACCTCGTATTGTATATATTCAACAGAGGATTGAAAGAATGTTTAGAAGGAACAAATATCCTTTTTAAAATCAATGTCATTTTTTTGTTTATAAATTTAAAAGAAAAACAAAACAAAAAAAACAACTTTTCTCCACTTCTCACCCCCACCTATTCTCTTCCTGCCCCCCCTCCCCAAACTTTGTATCGATTACAAAACTTCAGTAATTCTTCACTGTAATAGCAGTGGATGCTTTTTGTCAACTGTTTACTTGGCTATCAAATTTAGTCTTGAAGTTTTTTCATTTTCATTTTTTTTTTTTTTTTGTTTTTGTTTTTGTGACTAGATTTTTTTTCTGAATATTTCCACTTAAGACAAAAATTGGCCAAAATGTCCTCCTCAAACAATTCCTGATCTCTTAATTTTTCTCTTCAAGTTCTTTAATGAAAAACAAAAAGCCTCTCCAGTTTTTGGGACTGACATTATCACAAATTCTGTGCATTCATGCAAACAAAATTAGAAAGGCTGGCTGGGATTTATTTATTTTTTCAACATGCAACTCTTGTTCTATACGTTAAGTCCAACAACCATGACATAAATTTCTTTGTATTAAATATAAAAATGTTTTTTCATTTTTAATCTAAGTAAAAAGAAAACAAAAAGAACTTACCCAGATTAACTCCAGAATTTTCCGGCTGGTGTTGGTGTTGTAGAAAATCTTTTGAAAGAATCCAAGACAGATTTCACTTTTGAATGTGAATTTAACAGCACCTTCCTTGCAAATTCTTTTAACTTTTTTTTTGTTTTTGACAGCTTCCTTGCTGTAACAGAAGAAAAACCTAGTCATAGATTTTAGGGAATTGGGCACAAATTTAATTTCATAAACAACCAAAAATAGGAAGTTTTCATTGGATATTAGTTCAAAACAATCAGCATACAAAAAAGGCAATTAGTGAAATTAATTATTTAAACTCATCAGAAATCAGGTGTTTTTTTTTTCTTTTGAATTTTTCTTACCTATTCATCCCACCTACTAATAATGTCCTGTTTAAAAGAAAAAATGAAGTTGTCCTCGAGAGGCTCTATAGATGTTTTCCAGTAGAGACTCGATACTTACAGACTCCCCACCTTTTTTTTTAAGAATGGTAAATGATGCTATATGCATTTCATTATTTGACTTTATTATTTTACTGAATTTAAAACCATCTCTTCATTTTACCTGTCAGTTAAAGCTGAAGCATTAACTACTAAAAATTCCCCTACTTTGAAAAGAGTACAAAATTTCCTTTTTAATTATTCCACTATGACCCGCTTGACCCAAATTGATCATTCTCTTCCCCTCCCCTCCAGTTTGGAATCAGGTTTTATTTATTTTGAGGAGCAGTCTTGTTTATTTATTTACTTTTATTTTTTCTAACATTACTTGATCACCCACCCCGAGTGATAACCAAACTAAAGGTTGCTTACCTTGAGTGACCAGATCGATATATTTTTTTTTTAGATGAAATATTTATATTTTAATCAGTAGCCATTACCATAAACCATGAAATACACTTTAAATACTGAAAATTTTTACGAGATGTTTTAGGATTTAATTAGACTGAACATTTCATTATTCAAAATGAATTTTGAATGTGTACACAAGGTGTAATTTCAGTGACTCACTCCATCAGAGTTGAATTCAGGAAATGTAAACACGATTACCTCAATTGGAAGTCTTTTGAGTTTTAATGTGAAATGAATTGTGGAAAGATCAAGGGCAAGCAATTGGCTGATTATGTATGAAAAAAAAAATAAGATAAAAGTTGCTAAAAAGGGCTTTGCATTCTTTAAAGCCCATTTATGTTCATGTGGTGTCCAAGGAAATTATTAGATAATTAATTTCTAATATTAAGAAAACATTAATGATCATATTTTGAGGTGCTTTTCAAATATAAGGGTTTAAAAAAATCCAACGTCTACCAGATAAGCTCAATAACTACCTCAAATAAGTTGAGTACAAGATAAAGCCGATGATAAATGGAGTATTTAAAAAATGTGCAAAGTCTGTGCATTTACATCTGAATTTATGTCATGAACAGAATTTTTTAAAAAAAGCTTTCTAACAAAACTGTCCATTGTAGGCAATACAATTTTTAAAAAAATGTTATCTTTAGAATGCTTGCTTTGATTAAAAGTAAAGATACAATTCACAATGCACCACATTTCAAATAGAATACAAAGTCTTGTATATTTTATCAGCACAATTCTGACTTCAATGGTTTTGGCAAGTAGAAAAATGGTTCAAGATTTACAAGCCTCATTGGCTTAACCTGGTGAAGAACAAATGTCTGTATTTGACCATGAATCCCAACACCAGCTTGAAAACTAAAGATAATGAGAAATCAATAAAAACAATATTCTAAATAACAATAATGATTCTTTCAAATTTGGGGGTTTTGCAAGTCAGAAAGTTTCTGGATCTTTAGTTTTTATGAATTTTTAAACTGCTGATTTTTATCACGTGTCAGTCATTGCAGCCATGAATTCTATGTATTTTCAATTTGGAATTGTCAAACATCAACGATTGAAATAACAATTCAGTAAGTTTTTTGGAAAGGCAGAATAAAATGAAAAAATGAACTTGTGAATTGCAACTGAAGCATTTTTTTATAACCACAACAGGAAGTGAATTTTAATACTTACATTGTAATTAATGACTTCTAAAATCGACTTTAATTAGTCTAGCAAGATAATTAAAATAATCACAAAATGAAAACTTACATTTTATAAATTTTTCAAATCACAACAGGAACAGCATTTTAAAATTTATGATCAATGTAATTAACGACTTTTTGATAAAATGGCATTGACATAAATTTTCAAGAACTTTTAATTAGAAAAAAAAAAAAAAAAAAAAAAAAATCATTTCTTCATATTTACGTTGCCTGGCCTTTTTTATCTTTTGTTCTTTGTGGAAATCTGGGAAAAATAAATAAAAGCTATTGTCCTGCCCCCTCCCTGGACTCCTTTTTCCTCTTCTTCAAGAGAATCAGTATGTTATTATTATTATTATTAGTTGTTGTTGTTGTTGTTTCTGTGTCTGTGCAATTGTCAACCCTGTCCTCCCCTGCTGTAAGTGACCAAGTACATGACCGAATGACTATCCGACTGACCTTTTAATAAACATTCACACCTGGATCTGACACTCCAAGCAATGAAATTTTTTTTTATCTCTATTTGAACACAATAATTTTAATTGTAATAACAATAATGATGATGATGATGATGATAACAATAATTACAAAACTTTTAAACCGGTGTGAAATCCTAATATTTCATCAATTCATTTTGTTATCTGTATTCTCCATGCCCACAAAAAGAAGAATGATTGGCAAAAAGCTTTACGAAGACGGCCTCTTTTTTCAAAGCTAAAGAAAAAAATAAAAAGGAAGAAAATGGATACGAGTTTTTGTGAAGGATATCCCTAAATGGGCACAGCAAATGTATTTGATCCCAATGGAAAGCAATCGACTTTTGCAAAGAAAAGAAAAAAGAAGACCTTTTTAATTTTGGTATTAGTTCTTTCTTGGACATTCCAGCATTCAGATGAATTTCTGACAATGCTGTGATTCTTTCTCTTTCCTTCTGTAGACAAAAAGAAAACCTGCTTGGGAAAAAAAAATAGAGAACGACCTGACAATCATGCTGTGTTTTGAAGTTTGGCTTTTTTGCACTCGAGGCTTTCCACCCGTATTTGCTGCTTAGAATACAAAAAAGTCTGCACCTCTTCCTCAACAAAAAATCCTTAAGTTTCTTTTTCATCCCTCTGACAATTCTGTAGGTTTTACATTGACATATCTAAACAATCGACATTGAATTAAGTACAGGTAAAGAGGCTTTCCTTGATATGATCGTTTCTATGGTCAAACTTAGTTCGACTGTTGCAAAATAAATGGCAGAATAACGATAAATTTATGTACTTAAAAAATGTGGCCGAGATGGTTAAAGCACTTTGAGTTGGCCTCCTTATTAAGTGATCATTTTGCATAATTCCAAAGGCTATATTTGAAGTTTTACAAAAAAAAAAGCAGTTCCAGCATGTGGCACCTGAAAACCATAGGACAAGTTGACCCAAACCTTGTGAATGATATCAGGTAGATAAAACTGTACAAAAGCTGTTAATGGTTGCACTAGCACAAAGTCACAAGTCATTGTGACCGAGGATTTGTACTGGTTTTGGTTCAAACTATTGATTGTGCCAGATTATTCACTCTTTCCTAGAAACTCTAACTAAGATCTGATCAGCATAGTTACAG